AATGCCTTATTGTCATTATTATCAGGGACCACACGGCTTCTCTTGAGAACGGAGAACAAAAAGTAAATTGTTGAGAAGAGATCATACTTAATGATATTAGTAAGCTCAGCCTGGTGGAGAAGGGCGTGGCCTAAAGCAGAAGTAGCAGCAAAATATAATATTTGTATTGCATCTATATTTATTTGTTTATTTGGATGGAACAGCAGCAACTAAATACACCAGATTGTAAATCATTTTAGTGGTAGGGGAAACCGGAGCACCTGGAGGAAACCTACACAGATACGGGGAGAACATGCAAACTCCACATTAAAAAGGGCTTGCTTACCAATCATATTACTTAAAAAAATGAGATCAGAAGTTTATTGCCTGGTTCATTGTGACTTCCTGAACATATGGTCCTGACCCTCCTGAACCTTAGAGCGGCGAAGGTAAATATGGAGATGGATTTTAGCTTTGAGCAAATTACTGTATTTTAATTGAAAGCTCGTCAGCGTCTCTACTTTCTGCGTAAACTTAACTCCAAGATTCTGCTTAACTTTTATCGCTGCACCATTGAGAGTTTACTTGTTGGTTCTGTGTCTGTGTGGTTTGGTAACATCACAGATAAAGAAAAGAGCTTTAAACAAGGTGCTCCGCTCTGCAAAGAGGACCGTGGGTTGTGAGCTTCCTGTTCTGGAGGTTCCTTATAAATCCAGACTTTTAAACAAAGCTCTTAGGATTGTCAATGACTCTTCTGGCCACCCTGGAAAAGCCATGTTCCAGCTTCTGTTCCAGGACATCTCATTACGCTAACAGTTTTTATCCACAGGTTGTTATCAGTGTGAACAGAGCACTTTAATGATTTGCACTTGATTTGAAACTGTTTTAGTCGATCAATTTCACAGTGACATTTGTTTACTGTTTTGTTTTATTTCTGTCTTTTAATGTTGTTTTATGTCTGTATTTGTTTGTGCACACTGGAGACTTTTTGCTAATGTATTCCAATGTGTTTTTTTTTTTTTACTGCAAATGGCAAATAAACTGAATCTGATTGTGTAGAAAACAAGCCATTGGATTTTCTAAAAGAGAAAGAGTTTAAAAAGTTGCGCCGAAGTCAAAAATATTCCACCTCCACAAACGCAAAACAATTTAGGTTTTGAATAATTTTGCATAACAGCTTTAGGTAATTCAATGTCATCATGGAAGATCTTTGTGGCTGATACAAAACCGAGACAAATCATAGGATGGATTTCAAAGATACGGCTGAAGCGTTAAGATAAGAAAATAAAAACTATGATTGAACATCTTTCAAAAGGACAGTGTGTACTATTTTTATTTTAAATTACATATCCAACACTGGCATTACATAGTTTGGATGTATTTCTTGAAAAACGTTTAATGAAATGTTATTTGAAGAGTATGTGTCCTTCTGTCGACCTCAAAGTTCCTCCACAGCGTAAATGGATGAATATAAGATTACAAACAGAGACACTGCTGGTTCTTTCGCTGTAATAATCCCAGCAGTAGGAGTTTGGATCCGTAACACGAGGGGAGCCTGGGACCAGCACCACGGACAGCGACAGCTCCAGATGTTTGTGTGTTTAATGAGGAATAAACACAAAACTTTGCAGAGAAACTCTCGCTGAGCCCTGGCATCAACCCCTGGACAGATGCGCCGCTCTCCACGAGCTTTCCCACGACGCCAACATAAATAGACCAGTTATAAAGCTTTCAGATGGAGGAGACGAGCAGAGAAGAGAAGATAGTACCACGCCTGCACTGGAGCCCAAAGGGTCCTGGAGTGACCCTCAGGGAAAAGCATGAGTTTGGCAGAAAATCCAATTGCATTTTTGTTTTTGTTCAAAGACATTGTGATTTAATTAATGTAATTGAAAAAGATGAGGTATCACACTTCAAAAAGTTTTTGACAATTTCAACAACTGGAGAACATTGCACACTCAAAAATAGAAGAACTGAGATTCTGATGAAGCTGTAATGAGGCCATATTTTGGATCTATTTTTGAGTGTGCAATACTCAATGACATAAACACTTAGCCTCTCGGTCCTGGCACCACCCATTCAGTGGAGAAATCATCATGTTGTCGGCTCAGCTTCCAGATAGACTCAGGGGGACTCTACCACCAGGGTCACGGTCGGAGGACTCAACCACCAAGCTCTAGATTGGGGACTCCACCCCCAGTGTCTAAGTCAGGGCACTCCACCACCAGGGTCTAGGTCGGGAGACTCCACCCCCAGGGTCTAAGTTGGGGGACTCCAACACCAGGGTCTGATGGTGCTTTCAGACCGGATCATGTGTTGCGTCGGCTTTCAATGCAAAGTCTATGGTGACTCGCGTTCGAGCGTCACAACGCACGGACCTCTCGGCACGCACGGACGGACTGTTCAGTAGAGACGCACGGACGGACTGTTCAGTAGAGACGCACGGACTTGGCGGGAAAGTCAAAGGGGAGGAGCAGGAGCGAAAAATCAACGCCCACAGGAGATGGATTCTGCTCATCCTTTCCTTGGGACGTTCGTGCGACAACCAATCAGAGAGCTGCAAAGTGGTCACGGGGACATTAGCGGACTGAGCGAGCAGACTGAAAATACCAAAACAGGACCCGGCCGGCTGGCTACTTCTGGCACTTCCGGTGCGCGTCAGGACATCTCGGTGTGAAGACCTGTGCGTCTGAAAACTAGAGAATGCGCTTCTGGTGAGCGGGGCTTCAGCGTTTCAGCGTGGCCGGTCTGAAAGCACCATAAGTTGAGGGAATTTAATAGAGATATAAGCTTGTGGTGGACAAGCTTATATTTCTATTAAATTCCCTTCTGCATACATCACACAATAGTCTTATGTTTTAATATTATTTAATGTTTCAAATGCAATAAATAGTCCCACATCATGCGTCTGCTGGGCCTTCATTGACTAATTAAACCGCTACAATATATTCAAGCTCGGTGAACATGAACAGAGAAAAAAGAAAATAACACCACCGCCTGCATTTCACTAAGTAGTTGGATTTGATAACATTCCTATTGTTGTGGTTGGAAAGTTAAGTTCCCCTGTTTTAAGCAAAGATCTGAATACAGTGACCATAGTGAGCCACCTGTGTTTTTGGTCATATTTTTTATTTTACAATCAACCTGTGCAACTTGAAACAATACCCCTCATTAATCCTTAATTCATGCAAGTTCCCAGAAAATATCAGAAAGTTTCAGTCTTCAGTATTTTCTAGGAATAAGTATTTTCTTGCCGTCTCAGCCCAGAGTTAAACTTCTTCACAGCTGCACTCAGCACTTTTATGGCGTGGGAATGTTTAAAGCAGATGCATAATTAAGCGGCTCCTCTCTGTCCCCTGGAGGACGGCATTACGCACAAACACATTGAGATTCTGCTGAACCCTGAGGGCTCAAGCAAACACTCCTGATGTGGACGTTTGATTAATGCTGAGGCCTCAAACCAACAGACAACAGGACACACACTTTGAATTGATTTAACCAAGAGACACACTATGCAGCACCTGTAACTTCTAGCTCACAGGTACAACTTGCATGACAAAACAGGGGCAAACAAAAGCACAAACAGGGGAAGTGCATGAGGTGTGGCCCATGAGATCATTTCAGTACTTACTATGGGCATGCAGAATTGGTAATAGGAAGTTACTATGGCTACCATGGAATGTTATACATTATTCAAAAACATGACTTCTTCTGTGGGAGCCCTAGCCCCGGAAAGAGGGGGCGGGAGTGGGTTTTTGTTTTTAGCTCTGAATATATATGAGCTCTGAAAAATATATATTTTAACGCCACTGACATGTGAAACCCAAATCCTGTCAGACCTCTGAAGTTAAGCATGGCAGAGCATGGTTAGGACTGTGATGGGAGACTGTTGTTGTGTCTTTAGGCAAGACACTTCACCCACATGCCTAGAATGAGTCTGGTGTGAATGTGAATGGTTGTTGGTGGTCGGAGGGGCCAATTGCCACATGCTGGTGGCCGCGCTTCTGTCATTGTGCCCCAGGGCAGCTGTGGTTACAGTTACCATAATTTTTCCACCCCCTTGCTTCACCTCTGCGAATATTACAAGGCCACATGAGACCAATTTAGAAGTTTTTGGTAAACTCTTTATATGTCTTTAAGGGGAAAAATACTGAATATTGTTTACCAACTTCCCTATTCCGACCAGTTTCCCTCTGATTTGTCGCTAATAGTGTTGTTCTTTTTTGTTGGAATATTACTGTCGGGTAAGTGCAGTTTAGCATATGTTTAAATATGGATGTAGATGAGCAGGTTACATCGCCCACATGGCTCATTAATATGCACATAATGAACACGCAACTGCACACAGGGGACAGCGGAGAGAGGAGCTGTAGATGTTGCACGAGGATGCATCACTGTTGGGGTCCAGAGCCATAGAATGTTGACAGTAGTTACAGCCAATTAGCCCAGAGAAAATGACAACACCAAAATAAAAGTCCTCACAACTCGCAATTACTCATCATGATGGACAATTTATTGCTTAAAAAAATTATTGCAGTAAATGGCAACCAGTTCATGCTACTGACAAAAGTGGAATACAACAGCGTAATCCTAGTTAAGCAAAAAAAAAAATCCTTGCGGCCAGAAAATAAACATCATTGAGTAATGTTTATATGTAAAAGTAACACTTTTGCTTAAACTCTCTGGTGTTTTATAAAAAATGTACAGACGTCAAATATTCAGCCCTAAAATAGTGTGTTTTATTTTTGTTTCGCTCCCAAAAATTGCATCAGCAGTGGTCTCAAAGGCTGTTTTTATTGATATGCAGTGTTGACCCAGGACCAGATGTGAAAGGTTGAAAAGACAGAAACTTAGCACCCAGGACCAGAATCATATTATAAAGTGCTTAATAAAGTGCACCCTTACCTTTACCTTTAAAAACAACAGTTCTCATTCTTTTTAATGTAGTTAAAATTCACAAAATCCAACATTAAAATCAAATCAATGTTAAAACCGAGCATCGGTAAACGTGCGCCACTGACCTGCAGCAGCTCTTGTTGCTCCAGGTCCCACTTCTTGATGCCGTTGTCTCTGGATCCGCTGAACAGGACGTCTCTCTGCACCGACAGACACTCGATCCCGTCGTAGTGTGGAGGCTCAAAGTTATGAGCCGGACCCACGTTCCCCAGAGCCCCCTCCGCCACGTCAAACACCTGGGGGAGGTCAGCGTACAAGAACTTTAGCATTTTTATAGACCTTTTTATAAGGACTTTAGCCTAGTCTTTGTAGTCTTAGTTAGGGGCTGAGGCGATCTGGGGGAAAAATTATCAGGATTTTTTGATTGTACTTTTTTCCCAATACTTCTTATAAAGAAATAATAATGACAAAAACAATATTTTGATGTGCACAATATCTAAGCCAATCATAGTTATTCGATTTTAATTTAGGACTCAATTGTTGTACCTTGACGTAGTGGTCTTTGGAGCCGGTGATGACCTTGTCTTTTCCGAGAGAAGACTGTCCCACTGTGAGACACATGACTGACCCGATGTGTCCGATCAGCTTCCCCATAGCCATCATCCTGCACGCAACACCACAACCACTTACTCACTTACACCGTGTATTTGGCCCGAGTCTTGGTTCGGTGCTGGTCAAGACGGCGCCAGTTCAGTGGAAAATGTGCAAATCTGAGCCCATCTTAAGATACATGATTTAACCCAGGCAACGCCATTCATTTGAAAGCATTCCATTTACATCAGAGGCGCTTTCTATGCCTTTCTCCGGTCTACCCTGTCTTCTCTGTAATACCCGAAAATCCACAGTTTGGGGCTAACTTCTCCCTGGCCTCTCCGATTGTGTTGTTTCCCCTTCGTGTGAACCTGGAACCGGTTTGCTCATTGGTTCCTGCTTCATCGCAGCTGGATGAGAGGCGTGGTCACTGGTTGGTCATCCAATCACACGACCCCGCCTGGAGGCCCCGCCCATATTAGCTGACTTCTTTTCTTCTCCAGTTCGCAGAACTTGTATGTCTCTTTTTGTTTAGTTATGTCACTCACGCTAAAGCTTTGTTTTCTATTACTTGAAAGGTGCACAGAGTCTCCCACCAATAAAACACAGTGATATTAAAATGAAACGGTTTCCGTTACCATAAACATGTTTTGCAAAAATGGAGACACACATGTTCAAGAATTGAAATGAGCCTGACTCAGACGTTCACACGTGAGAGATCAAACGAAACCAACCCCGGACACCGACCCCCAACAACAACAACAACTTATTCTTGTATAGCCCTAAATCACAACAGAAGTCATCTCAGAGGACTTAACAAAACCATTGAAATCACCAACACAGATCAGAGAATCAACAGTTAAAACACAAAATAGCAAAAGCACAGGTGTGAGTGCACCAGTGGAGTGTTTACCTGTTGAGGTCCCAGATGCGCACAGTGTTTCCCGCTGCAGCGTATAGCACGGAACCCGAGGCATTCAGGGAGATCTGGTTAATCTGACACTCGCCTTGAGCAAACGTGATGGTGCGCGTGGTGGTGCCGGCACACGCGTCTCCACTGACCACCTGACCAGAGGAGCTGCAGAGGGAGGAGGAGGAGAGGGGTTCAGGATTCAGGAGACTAGTATGAGGTCCAGCTAACATTTATCAACATGGTAAATGTGGTTAACATTTGTAACAACAATTATTCAGTGTGAACAAACCAGGCAACATTATGCTAAAATGGACATAGTTGTCAAAGTAACAGGAAATCCTCTCGTTTTTCAGAAAACACATGATTTAAGAGAGCTACAGTATTTTAACAAGTCAAGTTCCCCTGCATTTGACCCATCCTTCATTGCCTTTCAGGCTATGGACAGTGGTTACCACAGAACAGGGGTCCATCTCCAGCTGCTGATGCTCTAGGTCAGGACCAAAGCTGGAGGATTATACCTATTTTATATGGTAGAGGAAACCGGAGCACCAGGAGGAAACCTACATGGACACGGTGAGAACATTTCAATGCCACCCTATTCCGAACTAGGATTTGAACCCAGGACCCTCTTGGTAAGAAGCAAGAGAGCTAACCACTCAACCACTGTAACATCCAACTAAATTATCTCATGAATCATTTTAAGACAATATCTCCATGGCCTCGCACAGAAGTACATCCGTGACATGTTGATGCCATTTGAACCAGCTCGGTTCCTTTGCTTAACCTGGCCTACGACTGGTTCCCAGGTCTGGTTGGAATAGAATGACGGTCCTTTGCGACTTGTTAGTTTAGATATTTTTGCTCTAAACCTCAGCTCCAGTATGACAGCGGGCTCCCGGTTTGTGTCTGGACTCACGTGAGCGTGCGCACACACTTGCTGGCGTCCCTGATGTCCCAGACCTTGATGTAGGAGGAGGACACCGAGAAGAGCAGCCCAGAGGAGCAGCAGTACTTCACCGACACCACGTTGTTGGGATGTCCCTTCAGAGTCACCACCTCCTGCGCCGTGCCCAGGTCCCACATCTTACACGTGCGGTCTGAGGAGAGGCAGGGTTCAGAAAATCTCATTCAAATCGGAAATTGTACACTATCAGTACACCATCTAAAAGTAGAAATCCAACAGTGGCCAAAGCCCCATTCACACAATCAGCTTTCTGGAATTTCACCGGATTTTATCAAAACAAGCTTTAAAAGGTAGACAGGAGGATTTTCCAAAACTTTAGGAAAGAACCAAACTCCTCAGAGGGTGTTTTGCATATCACCAGAATGATTGACAATTAGGAGGACCAATAATGGATGATGAAGAAGAATATAGATTTAAGTGAATAATAAAAACTCATCCTTTTTATCTGGCAATTTTATTTGACTGACATCAGCAAGAGGAGAAGTGGAAAACAAGTGCAAAGACCAAAATAAGGAAAGCAATCTAAATGTAAACACACAGCAAAATGTTTTTCCGTAAACAGCTGCAGAGGCTACGGTCTTGACGGGATTATGTACACAAATAGAGTATTACATGTGCTTTCTTCAGTAAAAAAACATTCCTTTGAAATCCCAGAAGGACACATCACGCTCAACTCGAAGAGAGAAGTCTGGACAATCATGATCCCCTTCATAAGGAAGTGGAGTGGCCTAAACTGGATCTTATCGTGTGTTTTAAAAATTGTGTGGATGGGTGGAGTTTTGGGCTGTGAGTAGGAAAAGAGGCAAAGATTTTTCCATTTGTAAGCCCTGATTTAGATGTAGGGATGATAAGCAAAGAGATTCTGTATAAGCATTTATTGTATAAGGGTCAATAAACATTTTGGATTCTAACTCTTTGAATCTTGGTCACAAACTAGAAAATGGCATTGGCTCTCGGTGCAAACAAGTTAAGCAGAATAAAATCAAAGGCATGCATAAATAAAAATCTACATAAATGTCTTCAGTGGATGTACAGGCTTTGAAATACAGATGTAAAATTCACCAATAGACTCTTTACAAGCGGCTACACCATCGTGGGAATGGCAACATCGTCTCAAACCAAGTGGGAAAGTGATGAATAACTGAACAGCTTGTTGGAAAAGTTGAAAAATAAAGTGTTTTTGCTGCGTACCTTTGGAGCCGGTGAAAAGCAGCTGGTTGGTGGCGTCCACACACAGCACTGGTTTGGAATGTCCCTCGGCCACAGACACGCACTGGAGAGGGGCCGTCCTGGTGCCTTTGACTCCCCCCAGAGGACTGATCACCCCCCTGGACGACATCACACACATTACAGCAATACAACACACACACACTTCCGTTCTCTTTCTTTTTATCCTCAGACATACCGTTGTGTAAGTTTTCACACAAAGGGAGAAATGTCAACTGTTTTGGCCATATTTCAGAAATCATGAATGGAAATGCAATGTTAATGGGTTGTATTAAGATTAAGAAATCCTATATTTGTTTTTCTGTGTTTTCAGTGTTGTATCACCGTTTCCAGATCAGCAGGAATGAGGAGCACACAGCAAAAGATGAATGAACAATAACTCAATACTAAAATAAAATACAATATCTAACTTTAGCAAAACAAAGAAGCAAGTACAGCAGCTTTAGCGTAATAAAGAGTGTACTAAAGTTGTATACGGACATCATAACAACAACAGAAACTTCTCTCCTGACCCTGATCAGAAATCTCCATCCCCCAGTTCTCAGGATTGTGCGTTTCCCCTTTAACATCTATGACAGCTTGAATGATTTGTTGTGGTAGTTGAGGATGAGGTTCTTTCGCCTCTCCGACTCTGGTGGTAAAGCTGCACAGTTCCTGGGCTGCCTTACATGGGTCGCACACTCGAGATCTCCCCAGAGCAGCTAAATGATGTCAGAATTTGACAATAGAAAAAAACACATCTATATTCTTCACAATCTCCAAAATAAGGCCAAAAAAATGACATGACTGGGTGAGTAAACTTTTAATAACAACTGTAAATCTTTTGTTCAACTGTGTAACAGGGAATTTTCACAGTAGGCGTAAAACAGCCCGTACGCATTTACTGCGCGCTCTCTTTAGAGTATCTACACTGGCCGTGCGCGCAGGTCCACGTCTTCTGATGCTCTCCCTGTGTAGTCTATGGAGCAGTGCAGAGGACAGTACAGAGGACTGATGTAGAGCAACACAAATCACATGCATGTGTTTGTCCTCATGGTCTCTGTGCGCTGGTCTGGACAGACGCCAGACTTTATGAAAGAAAAAAAACTATGTCCAGAATCACTGTAAAACCTGCTGCTCCTCCTGCTGATGTTTAGACACAAGTGCTGTGTGTGTGTAGATGCAATCTAGAGCCAAGGGCCGCTAGAAAAATCATGTTTTACATGAGATTTCAATGGGAGACGCGTTGCTGCGCGCACAAAATTAGAAATCCATCCTAAATTAGAGCGCAGCTTCGCGTCATACGTCCGTCATACCCGCGTATAACGCTAGAAGTGTAAATATCATCATAGGTTAACATGGAAAAAAGTTACGCGCGTCTGCTGCGCGTATAACGCGTACGTGCTGTAACGCGTGATGTGTGAATTAGCAGTGAGAAATAGAGGGCACAAGATGTGGCTTTGGCAAAAGGTGAGTTATACGCCAGGGCTGGGTGTCATTCAGAGCCGATACACATATGCATCTCAGTCTTAGTTACGATATAAACGATACGATACGGTGCCCTTATCAAAGACCACAATTTAACAAAACCCTATTGATTAATTTATATTTGATTAATTGAAAGTTAATAGTTATTCAAGTCACAACAAATTCTATATATCCATGTGTGACTTTCATATTTTGACTTTGCTCATTGTGTCTGTATGCATTTTTAAACACATTTAGGCCATTCTGCCTATCCGACTCCACATGCTAACAGTATTGAATTAGTGGAGTTTTCTGCTTTCGCTTAAATCTTCTTTCAATTTGCATGAACTATTGTGTAAAAGTGTCTTTGTTAAGCAGTTCTAACAGCGTTGCCGCCTCCCAGGGTTTATGATGAATATGTCCGTGCTTGAGTAATCTTGCGCTGTCCTGTGTTTAAGGCCCAGTGCTCTGAAATAACAGCTTGTGTCCGTCTTCTGCCGTTAATTGTTCCTCTTGTGGGATTTCTTGGGTTTACAGGGAGTATTCCCTCCGCAGGACCTCCACCTTTACAACATTCATCTAACTTGAATTATACAACGATGTTGGGGGCCGACGTCTGCGGTAATTGGACACTTTGACAACAACAAAACTGCTCCAGTGGGAGACGCTGTGGTTTTGTATCGGCTGATACTACAGATGAAACTGGCAGGGGTATTATTAAAGACCACTGTTTAATCAACTCTCTCTTAGGTCTCTTCCCATTTGTCAAAATTCAATACGCTATAACAAATATTGGAATATGATGTCATGGGCGGCTTTTTGTAGCTTTTAATAATGTTACAACATTGTTCCCTCATCAGTCACAGATCTGAAGTAGGGCTGGGCAATAAATCAAATTTAGGCAATTAATCGGCTTTTGAAAAAATCGAATTTGTGAAAAATTTGAAAATAGTGAAATCAAATGAATATTGTGAGAGTTCCAGCAGCACAGTCTGTACAAGATTTTTGTAGGAGGACCCGCGTGCGAATGCGCCCCTCGCTGTGTGGCAAGAAGACAGAGCGGCACATACAGAAGAATGGATGCGACGACTACTTTTAAAAGACTCAGTGGGCGAATAGCACTTTATATAAGCACTTTAAGGCAAGAAGATCAGAGGAGATATATAGACAAGCTAAAAGTATATGAGACCGAACTGAACAAATTCAAAGCCCATATGAGACCTGGGATGACGAGAAGAAACATTGGTCAGACTCATCTCTCTTTTGGCACCAATCTGCTGGGACTGGGACTCGGAGACATTTATTCTTACTTACCGGGACCGTTCACTCAAGAAGGGTTTGTGGTGAAAATCCATTTCGCGTTTTTCACCGCGGTAAAGTGGCCCGGCATTTCGCCGTCACGGTAAAGCACATTAAAAGCGGGTTGCCCCTGTTTGCTGTTACTTACGGTAAAGGTGGAACAGGAAGCCGCGGGGATGAGCAACCAAAATGCAATGTTTAAAATTAATCATAATTCATGAATGAATGAATGAGTGAACAAGTGCGCAGTGTTTATGAATTTTTATCCCCTCATTCCCCCGGCTCCCCGTTCTATGTTTACCGTAGGTAACAGCATAAAAGGGCAACCACTTTACCGCGGCCGTTTTTTGCTGTTCTTTTCAACAACAACAACAAAAAACGTAATCTGTCCCCAGCAACCGACCACACAACAAGAACGGACCATTTGATTTAGTAAAACCTCACTACAAACGTCTAAAAATAGCTAACTCTCTCGCATCCAGATAGCTTTCAATGCTCTAGTGCCACCCGGCCATGTGACCGGCGTGGAAAAACTATAAACAACAACGCACTCCAAGATCCTCCTATAACACGTATTTGGGGAAACAAATTAAAAATAGTTTTGAAACTTGAATATTGAGCGGAAAGATCAAAACATATTTTTAAAGGGCAAAGTCTGTCTACGGTGACTTGAATGAAAATCAATTCAAAATCGAAATCATCCAAAGCAGGAAATAAAATCGAGATTTTACTTTTTTGCCCAGCCCTAATCCGAAGTTGGTTTTGGATCCATCCACACTATCATGGGGAACGTCTGCCAAATATATAACTGGAGTCTTCTGTGGTAGTTGTGGATAAGGCTCTCTTTGCCAATATCACACGTCACAAAGTGGGGAAAAAACGTCTCAAAAATGTGGCCAAAACGGTCACATCTCCGACGGGGTGTGTGAACTTTCAAGCGCATATCGGTAATGAGCGGAGTGGTCCTGTTTTACTGTAGCCCAGAGCACTGCCCGTCAGACACGTCTCCTCCAGCACCAGTGCTTTAAACGTGATTTTAAAAACCCGCGAGACCAATTTACCCCCAGTGCTTGGCTCCTCATCCCTCCACTCTCACCCCCCTCGGATCTGTCACTGCACAGACGCTCTGCTCTTCGTGTCAGTTCTTCACAGATTGGACTTAACCAGCTTCAGACGTCTCACAAAAACACGTCTTGTTTAGAAGTGTGAAGGTGGAAGAGCCGGCGGGTTTAAGGCGGCTTCAGGAACCCGGCCTTAATTGGACGTTTTGACAACAAACATAAATAAACAAGGTGGAGATCGAGGCTGTTTTAATACCAGGAGGCGGTCAGCTGCTGGAACATTTTGCATAATTTGACTTCATTTTGGCCTTAATATAAATTTGAGAACATAGATACAACTTGGAAAATGACAATATCGCTCAGAGGGGAATTTATTTTCAACAAAAAATTCATTCATTCATAACTAATGAGCGTGGTTAGACCAGAAAACATCTCTAAGTCCGATTATCTGATGGAACAGTGTTGTAACATGGTTTAAAGGTCATAAAGGTATAGCCTAATGTGTTCTTAAATTAAAGTGGACTTTGTTCTTGGTCTGCAGCAGTATTGTTTCGATAGATAGTGTCTCTATAAGGAAACATGAGACAGACTCAACACTGTGTCCTTTGGAATGAAGAGGGAGAAAAATTGTGCCAAAGACCAGCAGTTAGATATAAGTATCTAAGTATTATAGATATCACACATAATTGCAAAGCAGCAGAGAGAACCTTTTATCGCCTGCCACTTTCTTAATCCGGTACAATGCACGCTCACATTTTGGAGATTGAAGCACATATCATAACTGGTTTATTTTCTCTTTATTCTATTTCCCTCCTTTTTATGATGATTAAAAAATTGCATATGAATTTATTCTTATTGCTTTGACACGTTTCCAGCCACTGATCTCCCCATTCTCGCTTTTGGCAAACGAGAGAAGTGTGGCTTCCTTCTGTCGCCCTGTTGGATCCGAGAGAGCAGCCTTCATGCAGCCACAGGCAACGGAGAGTCTTCGGCTTAATACGTCACAATGAGAGTCCGTAGATGGAATGTTACCAATTTACCTCAATATCCTCAGAATGAATGGAGCTAAAAATAACCCCAGCTCTAGGGTTTGATGTTGTTGTAACATCCAAAGTTATAACAGAAACAGCAGCAGCAGGATTTAGGCCATTCACCAGAAAAAGCATGTAAAAATCAATAGTCACATAAAAAAGTGCCAAATTGAACTCAAACATCTGTGGGGGCATGCACCAGACTACAGCAAATCAAACTCTAAAACAAGACTCATAAACAGCAGCAGGAAATTATATCAAAAC